TGTTGTTGTTTGTAGGCGGGGCTGGTGGAGTTCGAGGCGGTGTTGACTGTTTGTAAGTCGCTTGTCATTTCCTCTGTTTTATAAAATGAAGGATAAAGGAAATAATAATTAATAATACCAATCCTCGCGGTGTACACGGGGCCTCATCACATTGTCAACGCCTTCGTCAAGTGCTTCGCGGGATCTGACGGTAAAGTGCGGTGACTGTGTGTGTGGACAGGTTTCTGTTGCACAAAATATTATAATAATATTTATCTGTTTGGGGTCTGGGTGTGAGGACGCACTGCCCTCGGCTGCAGAGCCATGAGCCGCCAGAGGAGAGCGCTGCACCCAATGCGTTGTCGCTGGTCAGTGGTGAGGCTGCCAGCCCCTGCCTTGCCCGATGCCCTGCCCACCCCCTGCCCCCCACTGTTGCCTGTTTTGGGGGTGCTGGTGCCTGCAGCGGGGCCGTCACAGTGTGAACCCGCCCGCACGGCTCCCGAGCAGCTGCGGAGAAACACTGGCGGTTGCAGCTCAGAAGATGCCATTCAGCCCATCGTGTCGGTGCCACACGTTTAAACAGCGAAACCTTTCAGTCGGGTTTACCTGCCCTTACCCCCCTCCCCCCACCCCCCTCACCCCCACCCCCCCCCTCACACACCCCCCTCCCCCCCACACACACCCTCACCCCCCCACACACTCCTCACCCCCCCCACACCCCCCACCCCCCCCCTCACCCCCCTCACCCCCACACCTCCCCCCCCCCCCCACACCCCCCACCCCCCCACCACACCTCCCCCCCACACCCCCCCTCACCCCCCACACACACCCTCACCCCCACACCCCCTCACCCCCACACACACACCCCTCACCCCCACACCTCCCCCCCACACACACCCTCACAGCCCCCCACACACACCCCTCACCCCCCCCACCCCCACACACCCCCCCCTCACCTCCCACACCCTCACCCCACACCCTCCCCCCACACACACCGCTCACCCCCCACACACACCCTCACCCCCCACACACACCTCACCCCCACCCCACACACCCCCACACACCCTCACCCCCCACACACACCCTCACCCCCACACCCCCCTCCCCACACACCCCTCACCCCCACCACACACTCCTCACCCCCCACACACACCCTCACCACCCCATACCCCCCTCACCCCCCACACACACCCCCTCACCCCCCACACACATCCCCTCACTCCCCACACACACCCCTCACCCCCCACACACACCCCACTCCCCCCACACACACCCCTCACCCCCCACACACACCCCTCCCCCCCACACACACCCCTCACCCCCTCACACCCTCCCACACACACCCCTCACCCTTTCTCCCTCCACCTCGCCCCCTCCCTCCCCATTTTCTGGTCACGTCTAAAGACCTTTAACTTCGACCAGTGCCTACGGTCACCTACCCCTGCCCCCCCCTCCCCCCGGCTCAGCGTCACTGTCAAGCACTCTGGGGCGCTGCCCTGTGTGAGGGGCGCTGTGTAAATGCAAGTTGTTGTTGTTTCTGGAGGTAAACCCAGCTGCTCCCTTTGATGTTTTTATCTTGTATTTGCAAAACGAAAAATAAATTGCTTTAAAAGAAAGTCCATTGAAATGGGCTCATCAACCCCGTTCTGCTGCCCCCTCACACCCCCACTCCCAAATGCCCAGAGCAGAACTTGGATTTCACATAATCTAGACTGACACTAATTTTTATCCACAAAATAAGGTAGGTTATTAAATAAATAATAATAATAATAATTTGAGGTAACGCCTCATCACATCTTCGAGACATCTCAAAGTGCTTCACAGCATATACTGTCAAGTGGAGTGACAGTGTGTATTTTGCAGTTATTATAGATGGTAACAACTGATGGATTTCCTTTGTCTCATTTGCAGATCTATTACACGGGATGTGGAATGAACCCAGCTCGGTCGTTTGCCCCGGCCGTGCTCACCAGAAACTTTGGAAACCATTGGGTAAGGATTTACTTTACTAAGATTCGATAACAGCTTTTAAAAAAGTAAATAATTATTTGGGGAGGACAAGTTTGCAGGGCTATGGGGAGAGAGTGGGGGAGTGGGGTTGATCAGGGCTATGGGGAGGAGGGGGAGTGGGTTGATCAGGGCTATGGGGAGAGAGCGGGGGAGTGGGGTTGATCAGGGCTATGGGGAGAGAGCGGGGGAGTGGGGTTGATCAGGGCTATGGGGAGAGAGCGGGGGAGTGGGGTTGATCAGGGCTATGGGGAGAGCGGGGGAGTGGGGTTGATCAGGGCTATGGGGAGAGAGGGGAGTGGGGTTGATCAGGGCTATGGGGAGAGAGCGGGGGAGTGGGGTTGGTTTGGAAGCTCTTTTCAAAGAGCCGACACAGACACGATGGGCCAAATGGCCTCCTTCTGTGCCCTATAATTCTATGAGCTCAACAACAAAGCCAGATATCAGCGATGGGGGGGGCGGGGGGAGTATAATTGACATTCGCACCCTCAAGGCTTATGTGGCAACCATTGTGTCTGTGAAACCTGACTGGTTAACCTCTCCAAGGAGAACAGTGCAGAGAGACTGGGGTGTGGGTGGGGGAGGAGAAGCAACAGAAGTAAAGATAATCAGAATCACTCGGTCAGGGTTTAACGGGAATCTTTGCTGCTACAGAACCACACAAACCGTCAGGTGGGAGTCAATAGATAACCATTAGATAACAATCAATCAACCAACCGGGTGTCTGAGACACATTGAAACCCCTCACTGTGATCAGCCGGGTGTCTAGTGAGGGGTTTCCGTGTGTGTCAAAGAGTCTCCAACTCAGACCTAGAGATCTGCGCCTCCCACCTGGACATGGAAATTCCTGTGTCTGGAATGGGATGGCCCTCTGTGACCCCTGGAACCGACTCAAAAAACAACTAACAACAAATGATATTTGTTTCAGCGCCTTTCCAGCACCTTGGGACGTCCTCCTGATGTGAAAGGCACTACGCAAATGTAATCTTGTTGTTGTTGTTGTTTCACGTCGGGAGGACGTCCTCAATAAAAGGTCCCCACAGGAGCCTCAGGTGGTGGGTTCAGCGATGCTGCCCCTGGATTTGATGTAAAGATGGAGGCCTTCGCGTCAAAGTCATAAACTGCCAACCTTCTCAGTTACTGGAGCGGGTGCTGAGGTGGCTAAGCCCGAAGCTGTTTGCCCAAACCTCAGCGAGTTGTCCTCACTTAAACTCTCGCTCAACAAGTTCAATTGTGCAGAGATTGTTCAGAGGCCGTCACCGCCCTGACCTGTCCCTATGATAACGTCTTAAATGGGTTTTAAACGTCCTGACAAGGTGACCGGCTGGTGCCAGCAGCCGCTGGGGGCAGTGCTGGGTGTTGGTTGTTGGGTTGTTGCTTGCCTGTTGTGCAGAGGTGGAGGCAGGGGGCAAGTTTCCTCACTCCGCACCCCTCTGTTTACACAGCAGTAAGGAGGAAGCCGCTTGTTAGTCGATTGGCGGATCGCATTTTTCGGGGTAACAATAACTCCAACAAAAAATAAAATTTGATCACTCAATCCACGGCTGTTTGTGGCGATGCTGCTGTGTGTGATTGGCTGCCGCTGTTGGCTCACAAAATACACAGTCACTACACTTGACAGTGTATCCTGTGATGCGCTTTGAGACGTCTCAAAGACGTGATCAGGCGCTATAACAAATGCAAAGTTATTGTTATTACATTATTATTAAGACAGCAGAGAGCCGATGACAAGTTATGGGAGTGAGCGATAGGCAGCAAAGGTGAATGAGGTTTAACGGAGAAAGTTAAATTGCTTTCTGAACTTGACTCTGAGTCTGTGCTTTTTGTTCACAGGTGTATTGGGTGGGTCCCCTGATAGGGGGTTCCATAGCAGCGCTGGTCTATGATTTTATCCTCTTCCCCAGGATGAGGGGTCTCTCAGAGAGACTGGCCATCCTGAAAGGAGCCCAGCCCCCAGAAGGCGAGGGACAGCAGGAACCCAGAGGTGACCCAATTGAACTTAAAACACAAGCTTTATAAGACGAGTACAGAGAGGAGTTTACAACACAAGGACTGTCCTCCCATCACCCAAGTGACGTGAACTTTACTGTGTTGTTATTGAAGGTGTGATTGAAAGAATATAAATGCTGTTAACTATCCCACCACGGGGAATTAAGAGAGATCGACAATTATTGTACAGCCAAAAAGGTATTTGGTTTAAAAAAACATGTTCGACACTTCAGGATTATTCAAATTTAGGGTTTGAATATAATGCTCCACTCTCATTGACTCGGCAAAGGACAATGTCCCCTTAATTACAAACAGGTTCTCAGAACAACCAAACAAAAAAGAATGAAATTATTTATTTACCAACGTATTTATTTGACGATAATTATATTTCACAGCAGTTTACATTAAATTCATAACCTGCTTTTTTTTAAAAACAAAAGGCCACACAAAAGTTTGCTCATTTTTATTTGTATGTTTGGAAAACACAGTATATAATAGTTGGGTTGGGTTTANTTTTTTTGACAAAACTTTAGTGATTTTCAGTGGAAATGCATGACAAATTTCAACGAGTCTTAATTTTTTAGTGAATTCTACAAATTGACAGTAGGGTGGGTCTTTCTAAAAGGAGCAGAAATATCTCACCTCCTAGCAAATAACTATACAACTATATAGCACTTGTTTAAAAATCCCTTGATTACATTTCAGGAATATGTGTATATTATATATTTCTTGCAACAAACCGGTAGGTTTAAGATTTTTGGTTCTTTCTTGAAGCACAAAAACAACAAGAGTCAAACGCTACATGCGTGATGTGGGTTTTAGAAAGAGTTTTGTTTTTTAAGAGAAGATACAGTTAGTTTGAACTTTGGCAAAATCCTGTTTAAAACATGCAGGACGAAGCTGTTGGACACTCAAGCCGCCAGACGGCGGTGCAGCCCGCAATTCTGATCTCCAAACCCGCCCTCCGCGCCCCCCCCACTCTTTCCAAGTTGCTTTCAAGCAAAATTATAGACTTATAGAATCTTACAGCACAGAAGGAGGCCATTCGGCTCATCGGGCCTGTGCCGGCTCTTTGAAAGAGCTACCAACTAGTTCCACTCCCCCCCCCCTTACCCCAACTAGTCCCACTCCCCCACTCTTCCCCCACAGCACTGCACATTTTTCATTTTCAAGAAATTAAGAAATTTCTTAATTAAAAAAAACTCATGAATATGCCAACGTGACTACATCTTGGGGCTCCCGGGGGGAGTGAGGTGCAGAAGGACTCTGCCTTTGGATTTCTTAAATAAGAAATGTCACAAAATACAGTCTGCCCCATCTCTTCCAATTTCAGTTAAAAAACACACACACACACAAATTGCAAAGACCCAACTTGTGTGACCAGCAACGGACAAACTCTCACAGCGTCAGACAATGGGTAGAGACAGGAAGCAGCCCGACTCCTTGTTAAACCCATATTATAAACTCCAAAAAGTAATCACTAGAATCACACTTGTATTTCTCTCTCTGCCCACTTTTCCTACCGAGTGCAGAACCTGCACCGTAACAGCAGGAAACCATAGAATAATGTCACATAAAGATTTCACCCTCTTGTTTAGGGTGAAAAATAGAAATGGTGCAGGATATCTTGCCACCAGAGAGGGGGGTGAGGGGTGAGGGGGGAGGTTTGGGATGATGGATGTGGCTGCATCAAGTTGTTTTTCAAGATTTTGATGGTATAAATTAAGAGATTCCAACCCCCTCCCCATTCCCGCCCCCCCCCCACGATTTCACTCCTGACAAAACACTGTATAAAACGCTCCCTTGTGATGCGCTAATAACACACACACAACAGACAGTTTTGTTGCAAGCAAAATTTTATTGAAATACCAGCAACTTTTTATTTTGTATTGGTAAAGGAACCCTCTTAAGTTGTTTTGTTTTAAAACAAAACCTGTTGTGGTGGCTTTATTCTGTTGGAATAAAGTCTAATTTCGCTCCAGGCAAGTGGAGAGAGCCCTTGCCTTGTGGGTTTAACTAATAATAATAATAATCCTTGCGTTAGATATAACACCTTATCACGTCTTCGAGACGTCTCAAAGCGCTTCACAGCATATACTGTAAAGTTTAGTGACTGTATTTTGTGGGCGACAAGTCCAAAACATAAGACTAAAAAGACCATCTAAAAGCTGATTGCTAACAGTTTCACCCCTTGTCTCCATCGCCACACAATCTCAGCTGTGAGTGAGGAGAGGGGAGACCTCAAAACTAACATATTTATTTTAAAAAATAGTAAAATAATGAAAATAAAGACGAGCTGAAAGGGAACTAAGTTCCTTTTGATTGCTGCCCACTGCGAACCCCAGACTCCACAGTTAAATGGGGGCAACTGCACCGAGGGCGCCCCCTGGAGGTCACGGTGTGCAGTTCAGATTCCAATCAACAACAACAACTTGAATTTCTACAGAGAGCCCCTCACGCAGGGTAGCGTCCCGGAGCGCATTCGGAGAGCATTCGAGCCGCTGCTCAGAGGAAAACGCTTTAGTTGAGGGGGAGGGAGATTGCTTTATATATATATATTTATATATAATAATAATCTGAAACGATTTAATTTTTTTTAAAAAATTCTGAGTAAATCACAAGTTCCTGTAATCGCTTTCTTTCGCCTGCGACGTATTTCTCAGACTTTGCAAAAGCGCATTTTTCTGAACACTTTGTGAACATTTGTGCATTTTGCGGTGGGATTTGAGCACAACCTTTTGGGTTGTTTTTTTTTTGAGGGCCGTGGGGGGGGGGGGGGGGGGGAGAGAAATTGTTTTTTATTTTAAAAAAATTGACAACTTGCTGTTTAAGAGAAGTACTGCCTTCCCTCGTTCGTTTTGGAACGGAGGGAAACCGGAAATCTGATTTACTTAGAATTTTTTCATAGAAAAAAACACACACAGATGAAGTCTCTCCGGCTGTGTTTTTTTTGACCAGCCGAGGTGGCTGACATATTGCGGAAACCCATCACCGTTGCTTAAGAGTCTCCAAATCCAACTGAGGATTCCCTGCCTCCTCCTACACATGGAAACCCCACAGATAGATTGTTGGAATGGAATGTGCTCTCTCTCTCTTTGCCTGGAGGAGTCTTCTTGGAGCTGAACGGCTCCAGATAGGACCATCCTACCCATTAGGGCTTTGGGTTGTAGGGTTAACAGGAACTGAGAGGGTTTGACAATTGACAGCCCAACAGTCTATAAACCAGGGAAGTGATCGTATGTCCCAGTGAATGGTTTTGGATGTAATCTCTGTGACTGGTCTGATTACAAACGATAATCTGACTGTCTTTTTTAAAAAAACACAATCAAAAGAAGCATCTCGATGCTTTTTTTAGGGGAAATAAATGTTTTTTTTAAAAAAAAGAAGGGAAAAAACAGCACATTAATAGAAATATTCTTTTAGTTCAACATTTGCAACTGCTGATGGCAGCACAGCCCGGCCCGGCTCATCAGCAGGACCTGGAAGGGCCGACCAGTCACTGGGGGCAGGGAATCCTCTCCCTCGGCTCCTGTTAACCCCACAGCCAAAGCCCTAACTAACAGGGAGGGGGGGTCCTGGCGAGATAAGGTCCCAGCGACCGATTTGGTGAGTTACATTCTCACCGCTCACTCCCACACTCGGCTTCTAACCCATCCCGGGAGCTTTCCTTACCTCACAACTTGCACTGAATCCATCAACGACGTTTTAGTTTTTAAAAAAAATGATGGGGGGGGGGGTCTCTTTTTCGGTGATGTTAGCTTTTGAGGAATTTTAAATGATAGAAAAAATTGTCAGTAACTCCCTTATGCTCCTCGACACAAAAACGCACAGACACACACTCTTACACACACACTCACTCTCACACACAGACATACTCACACACACAGATACTAATGGAACAAGGATGTGATTGATGGTCTGGGAGGTGAGTGGCTATAATTGAGTTGCTGCTATCTTGGACTTCACCACGTTTCAGCTAAAAAGAGAACTTGTCAAGTCCAACTTGCCTTACTTGTCACCTCTGGTGAAGGTGGAACATTATTCTGAAATTCAAGCCTGAGTTAGGTTTACAGTTTGGGATTTTTCAAGTCTTTTCTTCTTACTGTTTTTGTTGCCTGCCTTGAAATCAATTTTGCTCACAGATTTTGCTCATACTCCTCCACCAACACTATCACCAGGGTCAATTGTGAACAGAATTTACCAGGAAACGGATTACTTTTCTGCAAGTTACATCAACACATCCCCCCCCCCCAGAAAAACAAACAGATATTGACTTTATAAAACAAACACCACACAACTGTATGTGTACAAGAATTTACAATCTTATATTATTTTGTGTATTTTTTAGTTGTTGCCATAGAAACAGTTGATGTAAGAGATACAAAGCCCCTTCGTGTTTACCAGTGGTTGTAACTTGTAGACATTGGGGGGGAAAACATGGAATAAATTCTACACAACCTGACTGATTGGTGTTTCTGGTGTTTTGTGTGACAAGTGAAAGTTTCACGTCTCTCCATCCAGTGCCTCCCAGGGCTCACACACAAACACTGCATCCCAACCACTCCACGCACGGAAATCCATCACCGTGCTTAAAAAGTTTCCAAACCCAACTGAGATTTTAATAACACAGTAAACTTCTGATCACCTCAGTTGTTCCGGGGGCAAAGGGCTTAGTGATGAGTTATCAGGAGCTGTGAGTTAGGCGTGCGTATAAATACATAAATAAATGCGGCTGGGATACTGACAGGATGGTGACATCAGTGGGGCTGACAAGTTCAAGCCAGGGTCGAGTTATCAGCCGTTTACTGTAATAATAATCCTGGCATTTGGTATAGAGCCTTTCACATCAGGAGGACGTCCCAAAGCGCTTTATAGGAAACCATCTGGAATGGAGTCAGTTGGCTGGCGAGCTTCGCCCAATTCACTTTACAGTATATTCTGTGAAGCGCTTTGAGACATCGCGAAGACGTGATAAGGCGCGATATCAAATCAGGATTAACATCTGTTAGCCAAGATGGCAGCCCACATGCACACAGCAACAGCCCACAAACAGCAGTTTGACCCCAGAACATCAGCCAAGCAGTCTGGGCACAGTGTGGTGGCATACACAGGCAATAGGTAAAAGCCCGATTAGACACTCCAGCATTAACCATCTCACTTTGCCCTTTGCCACGCTCCTGTAGTGCAGTGGTGAGCGATTCCCAAGTAGGGCAAAACCTTAGGCAAGTTTCTTTACTCCACAACCCTGTTCACCTAACAGTAAGTAGGAACCCAGTTGTTAGTCGATTGGCGGATCCCTAATTCCTCCAAAATAAATAACTAATAATATGGTCACTCAATCATAGAAACAGGAATAGGCTATTCAGCCCCTCGAGTCTGTTTTATAAGATCGTAACTGATCTGTACCTCAAGTCTATTACCCCCTTTTGCCCCGTATCCCGATCCCCTGATCTGACAAATATCTCTCCACCTCAGTCTGCACAAATCCAGCCATAATCCACAGCCTTTTGGGGGAGGTCGAGAGTTCCAGATTCCCACTACCCTTTGGGTGAAAAACTGCCCCTGATTTCACTCCTAAACGGCCTGACTAATTTTAAGATGATGCCCCCCTTGTTCTGGATNCCCCCCCTCCCCCACCAGAGGAAATAGTTTCCTTGTAGCTCCCCCCCTTATCAAATCCCTTCATTATTTTAAAAAACCTCAATCAGATCAACTGTTAACATTCTTAACTCAAGGGAATAGAGACCAACTTTATGAAACATGTCCTCATAATTTAACTCTTTAGACCCTGGTATCATTATGGTGAATCTGCATTGACTGTACAGCATTAGAAAGACTCTGTAGCATCAGCGACCGAGGGATGGAGAGACAGTAAAGCCGGGCAAGAATGGGGATGATCAGTTTGTGGAGCCTGGGGCGGGAAGAACACGAGCAGCAGAGTTCTGAATAATCTGCAGTTTGTGGAGGGAAGAGTAGGGAAGTCCAGCAAACAGTTGGGAGTTGGAGTAGTCAAACTGGGACGTGATCAATAACAACTTGCACTTATATGGTGCCCGCCACGCAAGGTAGCGTCTTAGGGCGCTTGAAAGCATGGATAAGGGTCTCGGCGGCCTGCGGTGAGAGGCAGTGGGAGAAGCGGGCGGGAAAGATGTGGAGCTGAGGGCAGACCAGTCACTGGAGGTAGGATTGGCTGCCGCATTTCATTTCGCCGCTAAAATATACAGTCAATTAATATTACAGTATATTCTGTGAAGCGCTTTGAGACGTTTCAAATATCAAATGCAAGGATTATTATTATTAATATTATAGCTAAAGCGGGAAAACTCCAGGCAGCCGGGGTGGACAGGACGCGCATTAAACACACTGTCCAGGCACTCACTTCTCTTTTCAAACTGGTTTATTCTGCTGGTTTCACAGCTCAATGTAAAATACGTTACCGAGCACTGCCGGGGTCTGTTTGCTTCAGCGATGAGCCGGCCTGGTGTTGGTTGAAGCAAAGCTCTGATCCCAACAGCGAGGGTCAGTCAGTCTCCCGCTGACACACATCACTGCCAGCCCACACACGCAATGTCGTATTGTGTTCCTCGACCACTCTGACCCCCCCGTCCAGTCCGCGGGCAAGGTGTGAGCTACAACAAGCTATAATGTGTTCACCAGCTGAACACATTATTTACCATCAGCTTTTCCCAGTGAGGAGACTTAACCTACTGGTTTCAGTCTGGACACAATTTGACTCCAATATTTTCATCCCATCCCAATACAAATTGCTGGAATTTACGCATTAAGATATAAAAATTAAAAGTATAATTCATGATGATTTGAAAATAATGGAACTCAGTTGCAATAACTACTCGAAGCTGGTAACAAAAACAAATTATATTACAGTAATATAATTATATTAATTATATTACACAGCACCTTTCACATCAGGAAGAGGTCCCAAGGCGCTGGGCAAGACACATTTGGGGAAAGAAAAAGATAATGTGGAATAAATATTTAACAAAGCGTTTTGAGAAAGAAACCAAAATATGCAAATAGAAAAAATCCTCGTTTTAAAAAGTATTTGCGTACTTTGAAAGAAAATCTTCGCTGGTCGCTGTCAGGTTTACAGGCGAATGGATCGAGGGTGAAAGGTGAGCAGAGGAAATGTGCACAGCCCGGCTCGAGCACAGACACTGAGTGAGCTGAGAAACCGGGCGATGACAGAGGCCGAGAGGGGGTGAGGGAAGGGGAGCGAACCATCAGGGAAGGTTTGGTTCAGCAGTTTCTTTCTGGGGGATCATTTGCTGCAGACATCTTTCAGAGAAATCTGTTCACATGTCAATCTCTACCCCGCCCATGAGCACCAAGTGACGCACTCATTTGCCAGTGGTGGCTGTGTAATGGGGCTGGGGGCACAGGAAGAGAGAGAATCAGACACGGGGTAGAATCCTGTTTAGCTGAGGAAGTCTAACCTTCCCCTGAAGCCTTGGCCTCCCCTCCCCTCAGTGTGGTGAGGCCCCTCCCTCAGTGTGGGATGGTGGTGATCCTCATGCTCTGTGAGGCGATGGGATAACTAACCATTGGGGTGGTGGTGTGACTGATGGTGATTCCTGGCAGAGACTGGGCGATGGAAACGGCCACAGGAGCGACCGAGACAGCTACGGGAGCCAGGGAGACAGGGGTGGCCATGCCCTGAGCGAGGCTCTGTGCCAGAGCGGCCGGGAGCGAAGCCATCTCCGCATTGAGGTGAGGCCCGGTGGGGGGAGGGGGGACGTTGCCGGGCTGGACGTTGCCGGGGGCGACCCCGGTGCCCACCAGCTCCTGCTGGGTGACGGGTCGTGGCTGGAGGGCTTGACTGCTCAGCGTGGTGTGAGTCTGGGCAATGGTATGGTTGTAGTTGGTGATGGTGCCCACGGTGGGTGCTACCAGCGGCTGCTCGGACACGCTGGGCGCTGTGGTGAGCGTCACCACCTTGGTCTGGTTACGGTAGTGAGCGTTCTGCTCCAGCAGCACCTCGTTGGTGGACATCAGGTTGGCCACTTGCTTCTTCAGTTCCTCCATGTGCTTCCTCAGCACCAGGTTCTCCTCGTCCAGCAGCCGGTAGTCGATGGGCCGCGGGGCGGACAGGGCGTAATCGTATGTCTCAAACCGCAGACCCTCCGCTCGCCTGCGCTTCAGCGCCAGCTCGTAATCCCCAAAGCGATCAGTGTCGTAAAGCTCTTCCAGCAGCTCGTAGCGTCGTGCGAGCGGCGAGAGCGTCGGGTCCCGGACCAGCCTCTCCACCGCCCTGGCCTCATGCTCGTACTCGTCCCGCTTCAGGTGCCGGAACTTACACTTGTTGCCTCGCTGACAGTCTCCCTTCAGGTAGTCGCGGCAGATGGGAATCTCGCCCTTCTTGAAGGACAGGTCGGAGGGAGAGAGGCCAAGGCCGGCGGCCACGGTGAGCCGGAGGTGAGGCAGGAGCTCTCCCCGTGTCTTGTAGTGCTCCTCGTCCTCCTTGGTGCCATGGATGAACTTGCAGTTGACGCGGACGCACTCCTTGTTCTGGAAGTCGTGGCAGAAGACAAACTCGTTCTTCTTGACGCCCAGGTCGCCCACCTGGCTGATGTCCGGGTGCGAGAACTTGCAGCGCTTCCCGCGCTTGCACACGTTACGCAGAAAGTCGCGACAAGTGTCGTCCGAGCTCTGGCTGGCCTCGTCCCCACCACTGCCGCAACCGACAAACAAACCGTCTTTGTCCGGCATCTTCACCGCGGCCGCCCACACCGGTCACAGGCCACACCCAGAAGCATCTAGAAAAGAAACCCATGTTATACTCCTTCCTGCCATGAAATGAGAACCAGCAACAACAACACATCATATTTACGCAATTTGGCTTTCACATCAGGAGGATGTCCCAAGACTCTGGACGGTCAGCGATTTGGCCCCGAGCTGGGGGTTGGGATCAGGAGGGGTGGAGAGCAGGGAGGATGGGGTTAGGAGGGTGACCAAAGGCGCGGTCGAAGAGGAGGGTCTTGAGACGGGCTTTGAAGGAGGTGAGGGAGGGAGCGAGGCGGAGGGACTGTGGAATGGAGTTCCAGCGTAATGGCGCTCAGCCTCTGCCATTTACTCTCAGCTCATCCCCACCGCCCCAAAGAAGTCTCCTCCACAAATCGTAGCCAATCGTGTCTGAGCCGGAGAAACTCCTTCGCTTCCGCCCCAGCGCAACAACCGCAAGAATAATCCCTCCGAAAAATAATCCTAATTGGTCACTCAATCCGCGACTGTTTGTTAGACACTGCTGTATGCAATTGGCTGCCATGTTTCACCCACAAAACAGTCACTACGCTTTACAATATATTCTGAGAAGCGCATTGAGACGTCTTGGCGGCAGGATAAGGCGCTATATGAAATCCAGGAGTTTTTACAAAAATGCCCTTTATTTTAAAAACCATCACATGCAAGGTTTATTATTGTTGTTGTTGTAATTATTATTCTTATTTTTAAAAATGTCAGTTTTAGACACCCAGATTTGTGATCGCTCCAGAATGAACCAGATGAAGAGCGAGAATTCTCATTTGGTCACCAGAAAATTTGGTCACTCCAATCCACGACTGCTGTGCGTGATCGGCTGCCGCGTTCGGCCCACAAAATCTAGTCACGCCACTTTTACAGCAAATCCTGTGAAGCACATTGAGATGTCTCGACGACACGATAAGGCGCTCTCTCAAACTCAAGGATTATTATCATCCAATTCTTGGCAAAGAAAATGGGAGCAGGTGGAAACTGTGAAGACATCTGATTCCGCCAAATGGACCCCATTGCGTTGGGAGCCTTTTGCTCTGGGATTTTATTCCGGAAAACAAACTCCGCTGAAGACGATAATAAACCGAAGCGTAAGCGAAAAACCCACAAACGAAAACAACGAACAATGCGGAATTGTGGGCGGAACGTATTCATTTATGCGGCGCCGGCGCCGGAATAACAACAACAACGACATTTACACAGCGAACCTTCACACAAGAGTATTGCCCCGGATCGCCTCGCGGTGGGGGGGAGGGGTCGGGGGGGGAGGGGGCTGGAGACCACAAGCCATGATCAAAGGGGAAGCTCTTTAGGTGGGGGGGGGGGGGGAGGATTGAGGGAGTTCCAGAGTCCCGGGGTGTAGCGGGGGGGCGGGGGGGGGACGAACAGGAAGGCCGGAGCTGCCGAGCGGGGGTGGACGGGGGTGACAGTGGGGGCGGACAGGGTGGGGGGGGACAGTGGGTGGGGGGGGACGGTGGGGGGGGACAGGGTGGGGGGGACAGTGGGTGGGGGACAGTGGGTGGGGGGGGGACAGGGTGGAGGGGGACAGTGGGTGGGGGGGACAGGGTGGGGGGGACAGGGTGGGGGGGACAGGGTGGGGGGGACAGGGTGGGGGGGGGGGACAGGGTGGGGGGGGACAGGGTGGGGGGGACAGGGTGGGGGGGGACAGTGGGTGGGGGGGACAGTGGGTGGGGGGGGACAGTGGGTGGGGGGGGCAGTGGTTGGGGGGGACAGTGGTGGGGGGGGACAGGGTGGGGGGGGACCGTGGGGGGGGGACAGGGTGGGGGGGGACAGTGGGTGGGGGGGACAGTGGGTGGGGGGGGACAGTGGGGGGGGGGACAGTGGGGGTGGGGGGGGACAGTGGGGGGGGGACAGTGGGGGGGGGACAGGGTGGCGGGGGGCAGTGGGTGGGGGGGGCAGTGGGTGGGGGGGGGACAGTGGGGGGGGGCAGTGGGTGGGGGGACAGTGGGTGGGGGGGCAGTGGGTGGGGGGGGCAGTGGGTGGGGGGGGGACAGTGGGTGGGGGGGGACAGTGGGGGGGGACAGTGGGTGGGGGGGGACAGTGGGTGGGGGGGGGACAGTGGGGGGGGGGACAGTGGGTGGGTGGGGGGGGGGGGACAGGGTGGGGGGGGCAGTGGGTGGGGGGGGGACAGTGGGTGGGGGGGGGGACAGGGTGGGGGGGGGCAGTGGGTGGGGGGGGCAGTGGGTGGGGGGCAGTGGGTGGGGGGGGACAGTGGGTGGGGGGGGACAGGGTGGGGGGGGACAGTGGGTGGGGGGGGGCAGTGGGTGGGGGGGGCAGTGGGTGGGGGGGGGGGACAGGGCAGGAAGGGATTTGAATACCTCCTCAACTCCACACATAATAAAGCACTCTCTCTCTCTCTCTCTCTGCATTTATTTGTGTTTTTAAAGGAATAAAGAAGCGCCGGAGGCCGCCCTGTCACCATCATCAACAACAACAACAACAACAACAACTTGCAGTCACAGCAGCGCGGCCCCGGGGCCGCCATTTACCTGCAGCTCTTCACTCACTCACTCACTCCTCCAACGCTAAAGAGCGCGCGCACAGTCCAACCGCAGTCCTCCGAGCCAAGAGCGTCCCGCGACCACTTGGCGGCGCCCGGTCCTCCCAGCGCCGGAGCTGCAGCAACAACGACAACTTGCACCCAGAGCGCTTTCTCCATCCGGGGAGAGCCTCCGGGAGAGCCGAAAGCAAAAACAGATACCCTTTCCCACCACCTCCTGTTGCCTTCTCCCTCGTGTATTCAAAGCTTTAGGAACACAGGAACAGGAGGAGGCCATTCAGCCCCTCGAGCCTGTTCTAGAAGATCACGGCTGATCTGGACCTCAACCCCAATTACCCCCTTTGCCCCGTATCCCCTGATCCCCTGATCCCCTGACCTCACAAACATCTCCACCTCAGTCTGGACAGTGTGATTGGATCCACCATAATCCACAGCCTTTTGGGGGGAGGGAGAGGGTTCCAGATTCCCATCCCCTTTGGGGGAAAAACCGCCCCTGGTTTCTGATGGTAAACTCGTTTGCCTACAAAACACACTTTACGGTAAATCTTGCAAAGTGCCCCGAGATGCCTCGGTGATGTGATAATAACAATATAATCCTTGCATTGATAATTATTAATAATTGTAATAATAATATTACATATAATTATAATGATTATAATTGATAATTAAATAATCATAATTAATGTGCTACATCAAACACAGGGATTTTTATTATTTCATTATCAGTTTATTACTTTATTATGCTTCCAAGTGTATGTGGATGACACCCAACTCCATCTTTCTGCCCCCACCCTCAACTCCAGGACCACTGCTGTCCTGACAGACTGTCTATCTGCCCTCACCCTCAACTCCAGGACCACTGCTGTCCTGACAGACTGTCTGTCGGACATCAAGTCCTGGATGAGGGCAAATTTCCTACAGTTGAATGTGAACAAGACTGAGGCTCCTGATTGGCTCACACCAGCGCCTCAGCACCTCAGGCTCTGGGAGAATCACCCTCCATGGTGTACACTACAACTCACCAACTCACCGCCAGTCAGGAACCTCAGTGTCTTGTTCGACCCTCAACTGTCTTCTTCCCCACATCCAAGCCATGACCCGCTCTGCCTTCCCTCACCTCCGTAACATCGCCCGACTCCGCCACTACCTCACCCCTCAGGCGCTGAAACTCTTGTTCATGCATTCATCACCTCCAGACTCGACTACGCAAACGCCCTTTCCAACTCCTCCCTCCACAGCTGCAGATAATCCAGAACTAACTCTGCAGCCCGTGTCCTCTCCCGCACCAAACTCCAGTGACCCCATCTCCCCCACTATCGCCCGACTCCATTGGCTCCCTATCCTTCAGAGGATCCAGTTCAAGATCCTGGTCCTCACATACAAAGCCCTCCATGGCCTCGCCCCACCCTACCTCTGTGACCTCCTAACCCCCTACCAACCCACCCGTTCCCTCCACTCAGCCGGCTCTGGCTGCTTCACGTCCCCCGCCCCACCCGTTCCACCATTGGCAGGAGAGCCTTCAGCCACTCTGCCCCCAACCTATGGAATTCCATCCCCCAGTCACTCCGCCTCGCCCCCTCCTTAACCTCCTTCAAGTCCCGCCTCAAAATCCTCCTCTTTGATGTGCCATTAGCCACCCCCCTTTCCCTCCCCTCCCTTCCCCCCCCCCCCCCCCCCCCCCCAACCCTAGCTCAGGTCTGAAATGCTGTACTCTGTCCAGTGCCTTGGGGCGTCCTCCCAACCTGAAAGACGCTATACAAATGTAATCTTGTTGTTGTTGTATTATTAGTTTAATATTAGTTATTTGTCATTACTAGCTATTAGTTTTTCTATTAAGTTATTAGAGTAAACTCCTGCCAACTGCAAGGGAACGGGGCTGAATGACGAGTTATCCAAAGTAGTAAGTTAGGGCATAAATGCATAAATAAATGGGGCCGGGAAATTGACAGCATGATGATTTAAGTAGTACTGACAAGTTAAGCCGGGGTCGAGTTATCAGGAGTTTACTGTATTTGTAATTTATTAGCAGTAGTAGTCTTTATTATTATGATAATAATCCTTGCATTTGGTATATCGGCTTTCATGTCGTGAGGACGTCCCAAAGCAGGATTAATGTGAATTGGAGTGACTGTATTTGTGGACAAATTATATTATTAGTTGTTATTAATAGTAGCATTTGTATTACTAGTTATATTATTATTTGTTTCTTAATAGTTATTATAAGCAGTAGTATTTATTATTAGTTACATTATTACAGTGAGAGGATCTGGGTTTGATTCCCAGGCAGAGCAAAATGTTGGGCAAGTTTCCTTAATCCACATGCCTCGGTTTACCATAGCAGTAAATAGGAACCCTGTTGTTTGTTGATTGGCGGATCACTTTTCTGGGGGTAATAATCCCTTAAAAAAATAAAAAATAAAAATAATAGTTTGGTCACTCAATCCACGACTGTCTGTGGGACGCTGCTGTGCGCTGCTGCGTTCTGCTCACAAATTATACAGTCACGACACTTTACAGTATATTCTGTGAAGCACTTTGAGCCGTCTTGAAGACGTGATAAGGCGCTGTATCAAACGCGAGGATTATTATTATTATTATTATTGTAGTCATTTGAGTGATTCTGAGAGAGAAGGAAACTGTTTCAGTTTCAGTCGGCGCCGGAGGGGGCTCTGAGGGCGCTGTTGCTTTTAATTCCACGACCCGCGAGGGTGGATGGCGGGGGCCGCTCTTGTCCGCGCAGGAGCGGCTGTGCTGCTCTTTGGCGGGCGTTGGCCGTTGGCCTCTTTGTGCGCGAGCGAGGGATCCGTGAGGGAAGGAGCGGCACCTGAAGAGCGAGTGAGCGAGCGAGCAGTCAGGTAACCCCTTCCCCGCGGGCCATCCGCCCCCCAAACCCCGTGCAGAGGTGCACACAGGGGTGGCCCCGGGGGGCAGCCGCAGCACTGAGCAGCGAGACGCGGCGGCGGCGGCTGAGGGGCGACTTACTTCCCGCGCGCCAAGCCCGTGCGGCCTAGTGGCGCCATGGAAGCCGCGGGCTTGCCAGAGAGCCGCACCCGGAGCCCGAGCGCACTTGCCCGGCCGCACCCGGATCCTGACTCCCGAGGCCCCCTGGTCCTCGCAGACCGATTCCTCACTGGCCTCGAGGCCAACCGTCTTACACAGCGGTCCTGGGGATTTCGCGGGGAGACGGATTCTTCATTAAATATGAACATTTTAAAATTGATTTTTATTTTTTTAAAAAGTTTTTTTCACCATTCATGTTTTGAATTGTTTTTCTATTTTTTTCAAAAAAAGACCTCCCCCCCCCTCCCCCGTCTCTTTTTGTCACCGACCTCCTCCACTCCCCTCCCCTGGAAGAGGACATTTTAAGACGAGGCGCCAAAAAGGAAAATGAAAGCAGTCACTCACACTTGCCTGACTGAATTTGGCTGCTCCCTGTGTGTGTGGATGTGTGTGTCTGACTCTCTCTCTGATAAAACAGTAGATTAATTAACTTTTTTTTCTGTTTGCCTTTCAGCTTTTCCAACCTTTTTATTTTGTGGAGTTCAGTGTTCCAGATCCACTGCGTTTGAGTCCTTCGCCTTGCGCGAGAGGGTGTCTGTCTTGTTTGTCTGTCGTCCACAGTTGCTTTGAGTTTCGAGAACCAGGTGAAGTCGCTTATTTTTTTATTAACAAAAAACAAATCTCACCCGAGGGTTTATTACGGGTTGTAAATGCCAGTTTGATCATGGTGCATTTGATAAGGCGTCTTATCACATTGTCAAGCTCTCCATAGTGTTTTACTATGAAGCATAGTGACTATTTTTCAGGCGAAAGTGGCAGCCAATTTATTCAAAGGGACATCCCACAAACAGCCGCCGTAAAGTGAGCGAGCGATTTCATTTGGAGGATTGTTGGGTGGGTTGGGACCATCAATCGGTGGTGGGGTGGGACACCCTGATGAATTCTATTGTAATGTAAACCAGATGCTTCACATAGCTAAAATTGGCTTTTATTTTTAATTGTAGATTTAATTTTGCACTTTTACCAGCGAAGCCACTCCGGAATCCTTTTGAGCACATTTGAACTGAGAGAAGTTGTTTATTTGCTCTCTGTCAAACATAAGAATTGATATTGGTTGCCTTTTTCTGACAGTTTCTAGTCAGCAGAAAGTACCAAGGATTGTCAGTCGTGCCAAGTACAACATAATTTACAGCACAATATAATTTACAATACAATATACACGTATACACAACACAGCCTTTCATGTTGAGAGGATGTGCATGGACAAATTGTGTTTGTCGACAGTACTGGCAGCCATTTTGCGTACAGCAGGGTCCCACAAATAGCCATTACAATTTATCTGCATAATTGTTGGCCAGGATACCAGGGTAAGTTTTATAATACGTTTTTTAAACAATAATAATCCTTGCATTTGATATAGCATCTGATGCTAAGCTAGGAAAAGTAGTCAACGGTGAGGGGGATAGTAGCAGACTGTAAGAGGGCATAGACAGACTGGTAGAATGGGCAGACAATTGGCAGATGAAGTTTAATGTGGAGAAATGCGAAGTGATGCATTAGAATCATAGAATCGTACAGCACAAAAAGAGGCCATTCGGTCCATCGAGTCTGTGCGACTCTTTGAGAAGAGCAATGTAATGTCAATCCCACTCCCCGGCCCTTTCCCCATAACCCGCAAACCCGTCCTCCTCAAATACCCATCCACCGTGTTTTTAAAAGTAGTTATCGAATCGGCCTCCACCGCCCTTCCAGGCAATGCGTTCCAAATTCGAACAACTCGTTGCGTGAAAAAAATTCTTCTCACCTCCCCTCGGCTTCTTTTAGAGACCGTTTTAAATATGTGACCTTCAGTCACCGACACACCCACCAGTGGAAACAGTTTTTCCCTTTCTAACCTATCAAATCCCCTCATGATGATGAAGACCTCTACCAGGTCTCCTCGTAACCATCTCTGCTCCAATGAGAATAATCCTAACCTCTCCAGCCTTTCCTCATAATCAAGGTCCTCATTCCTGGTCCCATCCTCGTAAATCTCCTCTGTACCCTTTCCAATACCCTAACATCCTTCCTAAAGTGCGGTGCCCAGAACCGGGCGCAGTATTCTAACTGAGGCCTAACCAGTGTTTATATGGGTTAATCATAACCTTGTACTCTATGCCCCTATTTATAAAAGCCTGTATCCCATTTGCCCTTTTTACAGCTTTATCTACCTGATAAATTGGGAAGGAAGAATGAGGAGAGGCAATATAAGATAGATGGTACAGTCTTAAAGAGGGTGAAGGAACAGAGAGACCTGGGGGTTCATACAAGTAAATCTTTGAAGGTGGCAGGAAGGGTAGATAAATTTGTTAAAGCATATGGGATGCTTTTTTAACAGCTTTATAAATAGGGCATAGAATACAAAAGTCAGGAAATTATGATGAACCTTTATAAAACACTAGTTAGGCCTCAGCTAGAAAGAGTGCTGTGTTCAGTTCTGGGCCCCACACTTTAGGAAGGATTGAAGAGGGTGCAATGCAGATTTACCAGAATGGTACCAGGAATGAAGGACTTCAGTTATCAGGAGAGGTGAGAGAAGCGAGGATTACTCTCCTTGGAGCAGAGAAGATTAAGAGGAGACTTAATAGAAGTTTTCAGAATTATGAGGGGTTTTGATCGGGTGAACAAAGAGAAACAATTTCCACTGGCAGGTGGGTCGGTAACCCAAGGACACCAACTTAAAATAGTTGTTTAAAGAAATGGGAGGTGAGGAGAAATTTTTTCACACAGCGAGTTGTTTGGATCTAGAATGCATTGCCTGAAAGGGTGATGGAAGCCGATTCAGTCACAACTTTCAAGAGAGAAATAGATAATTATTTGGGGAGGACAAGTTTGCAGGACTATGGGGAGAGCGCGGGGGGAGTGGGATTGATTTGAATAGCTCTTTTCAAAGATCCGGCACAGACAGGATGGGCCGAATGGCGTCCTTCTGTGCTGTATAATTCTATGATTATCAAGTCTTTGTCTCAAATCCCTTCAAACAATATATTGTAAAGTCAGTGACTGTATTTTGTGGGCAGAACGCAGCAACCAATTGCGCCCAATAGTGTCCTACAAACAGTCATGGATTGAATTAAATTTTGTTGTGTATTTGTTGGCGGGATCTTTAGCTTCCTGCCCCATGCCATACCTACATTTTTTACTTATTTCCTGAATGACAATTCTGAACAGAGAGTTTTTGTGGCCTGGAGATCCTCTTCTGTAATTTTTAGCAGCTATTGATTGCAGGAGCCTTGTTATAATGTGGATCTGGACCCAATCACTCAGAGGCCAAAGATAAGCAAAGATCTGAAAAAAAATGTGTCATCACTGATGTCACGTCTTGTGCAAGAATCACCACTGGCATCCCTTCCTCCACACGTGTGTCACTTTTCATGTAATTCTACTAAATTCCTACTTTATTACAACCTTTCACATTCCTAAATATAGTTATTTGTGACCTCTATAAGCTAAATGCTACATTTAAAACAAGCTGCTGGGTGGAGCCCAGGAAGGTTCAATGAAAGCAGATGGAATTTAAAGTAATATTGTGTCATTGGTAGGAAGTTGGTTATCAGCGAATCGAGACCTGAAGGGTGCTGTATAAATATAAGTCGTTACATAGTAATACAGCATGAAAACTGACCATTCGGCTCAACTCCATGCTAATGATTATATTCCACACTAGTAATTATATTCTACAAGAGCCCCCCACCTCAGTCCCTCTGTTCTCTTTCTCATGCGTTTTCTCAGTACATTGATGCTATTTGCTTTGACCACAGAGAGTTGAATTAAAAGTAATGTTCTCTGATTGAATGACAAGACTCCCCCTCTCTCTCCCCCCCCCCCCCCATCACTGCTGGTTCTTAGCTTTTTCCTTATATGTAAATTACCTGAATCAAATCAATGAGGGTATTTCAGAGAGGAGTGACTGTGGTGACGACAGAAAGCTAGAAGTTGTAAACCATGCAGACAGTGGAAACATACTTAGCAAATGCCTAACTTATTAGAGGAAGAAACACAATTCAGAAGTCTTTAGGCCATCTCAGCATGCTTCACGCGGTTTACTGTAAAGTGTGGTGACTGTGTTTGTAGAAAACGACAACAGCTAATTTGCAAACAGCGACGTCCCGTAAACAGGCATGAGAGAGAGGGAATCAATCAGTCAGGGTTTGGCCTCCAGATTGCAAATCTACAGGAAGTATAGTGTGGCTGTGGGTAAAACTGGATTTGGTTGCCAGTTGAATGGCGTGCTGGTGCTTGCCCAGTCCATAAGGAATGGTCTTCAGAGTGTTGGAGGGTGGGTGCTAGAGGAGATGTGAGTCACTGCCTTTAATAAGAACCGATCCATAGGGAAGGGCCTTGTTGCTGAGACTTTAGAGAGTTGATATTCACTGCCCCATATTGTATGGCTTCCATACAGCTATACCTGGGTCTGACCATGAGTGAGTAATAATAATAATTCTTGCATTTGATGCAGCGCCTTTTCGAGACGTCTGAAAGCGCTTCATAGAATATAGGAATTAACTGAATATTGTGTGGGCGAAACGCAGCAGCACATTATGGTTACTGTGGACACATTCTCTAAACATGGCTTATGTTTCTCTCCCTGCAGTTACTTTGTCGAACGAACGACCGCAGTGCAGAAAATAAGCTGTGAAAATGGCAGAAACTGACGCTGCCACTAACAGCGGGACCACCACTGCCGAGACCACGACCAGCACCAGTACCAGCAGCACCACCACCACGACTACCACCACCTCCAACAGCAACGACGACGTCTGCCGAGACTTCCTGCGCAACGTCTGCAATCGCGGAAAGCGCTGCAAGTTCCGCCACCCGGCCACCGACGAGCTGAGCAACCAGGCCATGAACAAGGGTGAGATCCCCATCTGCTACGACTATCAGAGGGGCGATTGCATGCGCGGGGCCAGCTGTAAGTTCCAGCACGTGAAACGTGATGACGGGTACGATTATGACAGTCGCGGGATGGACCGAATGCCGCACGACCAGCTTCTCAATCCCTTGATGGGCGGCTACGATCCGTACCAGGGGATGTACGGCAACGCCCGCTATGATGATTACAACCCTTACCTGAAGAGGAGACGAGTGGATGACCCACGCTGTGAGATCTACGAGTACGATGTGCCGCCAAACCACCCAGCGGATTCCCGTTACCTGGAGGAGGAGAACCTTATGCTGCGCAAGCGCATTGAGGAACTCAAAAAGCAGCTGTCGAACCTGATGGCCAACAACGAGGTGCTTCTGGAGGAGAACGCACAGCTTCGCAACCAGGTGAAGGTGGGGATGATGGTTTCCACCGCCCAGGCGGCCTACACCACCGCCACGGCAGCCTATCCCACCGCCACGGCAGCATACGCACCCAATGACCAGTTCTCCTCCCAATGACATTGGGCGAAGTACTCTTGAGCAAGGTGTGACTTAAGCCCATCAAATTCTTTCTCTCTCTCTCTCTCTCTCTCCTCTAATTTCCCCCCCCCCCCCAACCCAACACCCCCGCTTCGTCAAAAGCCTTATCGATTTGCCCCTCGTTCCATCCAGACCTGAGCAGGTTAATGCTGGGAGCCTGCTTCATGTGCACCGAAAGCATGAGATTTATAACTCGGCCCTCGCCCGTGTTCAATGTAAACCGCTGTCCTACTGGAGAGCTCTAAATGAACACTTGCCCCACCAGACCCAGCCTGGTCAGTTTGAGCAAAGGCTGAGTGCAGGGAGTGCTAATGCACGTTAGTTGCTCTCTGCATTCTTTGCCCACATGCAGGAAGTAACTATTGTGGCCATTTGACAAAAAAATTCCCTGATTAAGGGTATCTTATGTGTAAAAGCTAGGTTCATTTTAATTTTTGGTAAATGTGATTGGGACTAGTAGGATTCTTTCTCAACATACTACAAGCTTTTTTCCAGGCTGCTAGTACCTTTCTCTTGAATAGTCCTTCAGTCTTCATTTGGAGCTGTGTGTTTAAGTAGTGTGTAAGTAGCTTTTCTGTCCTACCCCCTCCCTTCCTCACCACTTACCCCCAAAAAAGTTATATACAGTACCTGTCGCAAAAGTACTTTCATTTTTTTCCAACATCACAATCCAAGATCTTTCGGGCCTCCCTCCTGAGTTGCCGCCTCCGCATGCTCAGTACATAGTGTGGGAGTTTTACAATTCCTGAACAGGAGCTTGCCCCTCCCCCACCCACCCTCCCACCATGTCAAGAAAAATTTGACATAGGTGGGTATAAAGAGTCAAACGTGCTAGTTTGACTTTTAAGGCAATGTACTCTTAATGAAGTGTACAACAGCTCAATAAAATCTTCAGTGGGGGGGAAGCCACCCTTGAAGTGTGTAGCGTACATAGCTAACGCTATAGCCTACAATGCTGTGATTCATCACAACGTTCACCTGACGTTCTGAACCCATTAAATTACAGCTTGGCCTCCCACGTGTTGATTATCGTCTGTGCATCCTCTCTCCAGCTCTCCCCTTCCCTCTTTTTCCTGCCCTCCTAAAACTCCCTTTTCCTCTTCCACCGTTACCGGAAGATTAAGGTTTATAAAAAGTGATGTTTTTTGTTAGTTTTTCCTTTTTTAAAAAAAAGTTGATCAAGAAATGGATCATTAGGTAATGATTATGTACAAGGATTTAGGTTTAAAATGTTGTGTAAACTTATTAGCATCTCCTAAATGTGTTTCTTTCCTTCTCTTGATAAAACGTTTCGAAGGGTCCAGCTGATTGTACAGACTTGACCACATGGAGAGTGCACAGGGATTGTATACAGAGTACAGGCTGACCATATGGAGAGGGTGGGTATAGGGAATATAGGCTGTTCCTATAGAGTGTATGATAAGGCTGACCAAATGGGGACAAAGTATGTCTAATGGTGTCAGACCTGGTGAAATTTGTATTTTGGGGGAAAAAAAACACCGTTCTAAACTTCTACAATCGTGTGTGAATGTCGGATGTGTTCGTGGTCAGGTAGGGCTGATTTTCTGATCAGAAGCAGCTATTAACACTGCACGGGATCACAGAGTCAACCTTTAGAAACAACTGAGTTCAGAATGTGTTTGTAAGGAAGGCACTCTCTCCCGCAGCCCCCCCTCCCCCCCGCCTGGCACATCCAAGCCTGTAAGTGGGATTTGTACAGATAGCTTGATGGTCGTATTAGGGTCTCTGTTCAGGGTACCTGCACCATTACAGCCCTGTACTGTACGTTAGCCAGTAAGGGACACTCCTCCCTTCACTCTCACACAAATTGTTGGTTAATCTGAGGGAATGCTTAATTCCCGATTTCTGGAAAACAACCCATTCGCTGACCGTCTACAGTGTACAGCAGCAACCCATGCCGTCATTACCAGTTGCATCTCTGCCAACTCACCGCTCGCCCCTCCTGATTTCTAATGTAGCAGAGTGACTAGGATGCTCACACATGCTAGCTTCATCCTCTCCGTCTCGCTTCAGTGAACGGAGCACTCCACTCGTTACTTTAATTTCCAGCTTCTACTGTGTGCAAATGATTTCTTCCTCTACAGAACATTTGCACGTGGCCCGCTGGACACTCGCTTCCACTTCTAGACTTGCATGCCCGCAGACTGTGTTGTGTATGTACTTGGTGCTGTGTATAAATTAAAGTTCAAGAGCCCTTCCAAAAAAAAAGTTCCAGTTTATTTTGTCTGCTTTTAAAAATGCAGGCTTTTCTCCCAGTGGGTGTGGTAATATATTAGCTAGGTAATGCTACATTAGCACTGGGTACATTCAACTTCAGTAAGCAAACGCGGTGGGATTCTTTTGTGTCTCATGTTCCATTAAGGATTACGTGAGCCTGAGACTTAGTTACGTTAGTGCACGGGTATGAACGCAAGCATTGTTCACTGTACGGTGGAATTCAATTCTAGGCAGTAGGTTTGGATGAAACTTGATTAAAAAAAATTTGAATTGCAAATAACAGGAACGGCTTATCCAACAAATTTGGAACGTGATTTAAACAAAAAGAAATGCTTATATTCAACGTTGACTTTGTAGCCATTTTGTAATCGCTTTGGCTTTTCTTGACCATAATTAACGATTGTTACACTTGTCACTGAAATAATAGAAAAGTTCTGAGCAAAACAACTCCTTGGTGTGAAGAGAAGTCTTATTAAAGTTTTCAGTCTCTTATAGCAAGAATGCGTCTACACATTGTCGTCTTTTGTTTTGGGAGGATTTTCATTTTGGCCGCTGTTCGTGGAAGTGATTTTGTTGATTCGCATTTTCTATGACCATTGGACCATCGTTCAATTTTTATCACTTCGGACTGGAAATCAGTTAATAATGATATTAAACAAAAACAGAAGCTGCTGGGAACACTCAGCGGGTCAGGCAGCATCTCTGGAGAAAGGAACGTGAGTCAACTTTTCGGGTCCACGACCCTTCGTCACAACTGGGGCATGTTGGGAGGGAGAGGTTTTAAAGGGCTGACTATGAGGGGCAAGGAAGACAAAGGAGAAAATGGGGTAGAGGACAGGGTTACAGCAGTGTTAATGATGCAAAACAAAGGGTGATTGCAACAAAATGGGACTAGAGGTGTTAATAATGCAAAATAAAAGGTTGGGTAGGAGGGAAATAGCAACAAAATAGGCTGACCAGAGAGAAAAGGTGTGTCTGGGACCCAGATGATCTGGTGACAGAAGAAGGGGAGGGGGAAGGTGAGCTGTTATGGTCTGAAATTGTTGAAATCAATATTGAGGACAGAGGGCTGTAAGGCCCCTAGCAGATAAATGAGGTGTTATTTCTCAAGTTTGCGCTGTGGATTCCATGGATGGAGCGGTCAGAGTGGGAGGGAGAGTTGAAGTGACAAAAAACTGGAAGCTCAAGGTTGTACTTGCGGACAGAATGGAGGTGTTCAGCAAATCGGTCACCCAATCTGCATTTCGTCTCCAACAATGTAGAGGAGACCACATCGTGAGCAGTGAATGCGGTAAACTACATTGGTGGTAGTACACATGAATCTCTGTCTCACTTGAAATCTGTTTGGGGCCCTAAACAGTGGTATGGGAGGAGGTGAAAGGGCAGGTATTGCATCTCCTGCGCTGGCATGGGAAGGTGCCAAGGGAGGAGAAGAAGTGTTGGTGTTGATGGAGGAATGAACCAGGGAGTTACGGAGGGAATGGTCCCTTCAGAATGCTGAGAGGGAGGGAAAGACATGTTTAGTGGTTGGATCACCCTGGAGGTAGTGGAAATGCCAGAGAATTATTTGTTGGATGTGAGGCTGGTGGGGTGGAAGGTGAGAACTAGGGGGACCCTATCACGGTTCGGGGAAGAGGTGCGGAAAATAGGGCGGACACAGTCAAGGGCCCTGCTTACCACAGCGAATGGGAAAATCCTCAGGCGAGGAAAAAGGAAGACATTTCAGCTGCTCTGGTGTGAAAGGTAATAATATTAATAATATTAATCCTTGCATTTCGCCTTTCACAGCAGGAGAACATCTCAAAGCTTCACAGTGAAGTGATTGTGTTTTTGTAGGTGGCTATACAGCCCAGAGAATGTCAAGATGAATGTCAGCTGGTGTCACACAGTTTTAAGTAAATTGTGTGGGTACCATACATGCCTTCAAAGGTCTTCATCCTCTTAAGATGCACCCGGCTTGCTTTTTGCCACAATAAAAACTGAGAAAAAACCATAACAAATGAGCTAACGAATCCAACGCTTGAAAGTTTATCTCGCCTGCTGGCAGTAGGTGGACGAACACAAAGAGAGATGGGATAATTATTCAAGGCAAAAATTGCCAAACCATATAGGCCAGAACAGCAGAGGTTTGGATTTTAAACTAAGTTAGCTAAACTTGGCCAAGCCAGCAGTGATCCTGCGGTACAGTGCAAAGCCCTTCCCTCCACTTGCAGGATTCAACGGTTATAAATCTTCTGTGATTTCAGTTGCTGAGTCAAAGATTGTGGTTTTGATATCCTTCCCCCCCTTTGCAGGTGAGGAAACATGATGGCAAACAGTAACACTAATACATTCTTGCCAAACAGAACACAAAATAGGGTGCACACACGAAACAAGCACATTGTGCCATCTCAGAAAGGCCCATAAACAGTCTTGAAGAGAATGACCAATTTATCTGGAAGATTATTGACTGAGTACGGTTGATGTAACAGAAGGGGCCAGAAGCAATGTGGAGAACAACAAGGATTATCCCCAGTGTTAGACGAACGACGATAATTATTACCTCCAGAAAAGTGGTCCACCCATTGCCTGACAGCCAGGTTCCTACTCACTGCTAGGTAAACATGCATGTGGAGTAAAGGAAACTTGCCCAACATTTTGCCCTGCCCGGGAATCAAAGTCTTCACTTGCGAGGTGAGTGCTCTAACCACTAAGCTGCAGGACTCCAGGTTACCAGGAAGGTTGGTTGAGACCAGGAAGTGGGACTTGTTTTAAACTTGACGCAGTGATGGGAGGAAGGTAGAGTGGATGGGTGTTCTGGAAGGACGGGATCAGATGATTCGAAGGGATATCTTCCTCATCTGATGTCTCAGCGACGACAAGATACTCAGACACCTAATGGCTTCTTGTGGAACCTTTCCTCTGTGTAAAATGGTCGCTACGTACCGACAAAAAAAAATGCAGTCACTACACATGACACCAATCCCTCAGTGTTGTAGGTGCCATAATACCAGCAATATTCCAATAATAATTGTAATAATAACTCCCAATTTTTGGGGGGTTGGAGACTTCACGTAAGATCTGGGCACAACAAGTATGTTTGAAACTAAGAAAAAAAGTGGCTCAGTATTTGGTGATATAAATATTATTTGGAACAATGAACAGAGAGTGATCACCACTCATTGACAGGAGGGAAAGGAGAGGAGTATTTTGGGGGGAGGGGCAGTGGGAGGAAAGAGGACAATAGTTCCCTTGTGAATGAGCTGGAGGCCCGTTGCTCTTGGCTGGGTGGGGGCGTTGCCCTGTTTCACCGGGCGCCTGAGGGGGGCGCTGTCGTTTTTGTGAACGAGTCTCGAGGCCGCTCTTGGCTGGGAGGAGCAGTTGCGCTGTGCGGCTCTTTGGCGCCGAGCCGCCTTGGCGGGAGAGGGCGCTGTCCGTTGGCCTCTTTGTGCGCGAGCGAGCTGTCGGAAGGGTGAGGGAAGGAGTGGCGTGGAGCAGAGCAGAGCGAGCGAGCGGCCAGGTAACCCCTGCCCGCCACCCCGAAAACCTGGGCAGAGACACAAACACAGGCCCGCACACCCGGGGCAGCCGCAGCGCCGAGCGGGGAGACGTGGCGGCGGCGGCGGCGGCTGAGGGAGACTTTCTCCCTGCGCGAAGCCTGGGGCCTAGTGGCGCCATTGAAGCCTGCGGGCCTAGGCCTGACTCCCCCTCCCGCCCCCCCCATAGTGAGGGGGGTGGGGGGGGAGGGAACGCGCTAAACTCCCGGGGGCGAAGTCAGCCGTCGAGTAAAGGGGGAATGAGAGCGGATTTTACCCGCTTTTCCCTCCAAATGACAAGGAATATTATTAGGGTTCATTAGGGACGCATTTAGCGAACGCGGCGAGAGACCATTCTCTTTGCATTCGTTCGGTTCGCTATTTGCGCTCCTCGTGAAGCTGTGGGTTTTTAAATATATATATTTAAATATATGTGTATCTATCGACTATTAATAGTTGTTTTTTTTCAAAAAAAATGTATAAAAACAAATCTATCGATTATTTTATATTATAACATTCATATCTTATAATATTCAATATTAGTTTTTTAAAATATATTTATATATCGACTGTGAAAGCTGTCGTTTTAAAAATTATGTATAAATACAAATCTATCGACTGTTCCATATATTATAGTATTTAATATTAGTTTTTTAATCTATATTTAAATAAATATATATATCGACTTAAAAGCTGTCGTTTTTGAAAAAATATGTGCAAAACAAATATAGACTGTTAAAAGGTCTTTTGTTTTTTTAAAAAAAACGACGGTGGGAGAAGCTTTTTTGAGTTGTGCCTGTTTGAGCCCCTCTTGTAGCCGCTCAGGCTTTGTTGGTTACTAGTTTGTCTTTTTCGGGGTGAACAGCTTTCCAAAATGTTTTATTTCGTACAGTAACCGCTTCTGTGCTTCTCAGTTGAATTATTCACTCATTTGCAGAGTGTATGTGTGTGCATTCTCTAATTATGTGGGCCTTATGCCGCAGAGAGCGTGACATTTTACAGTTTTTAGCTGGAAAGCTTTGTACAAAGGTTGATCTGAACAATAACGTATTAATTGGGAGAGCTGACTGGAAGGAAGTGAACCATTCTCAAGACACGGTGGTTTAGTCGTATTTAGTACGAATTGATCAACCCGCAAGACATGTTTCTTGCATGAGAACTTTGTCTTAAGGTATTTTCTCTCTTCAGCATTTGCGGTTGGCCTTGTGCTCCAATGCCTCAAGAAATTGAGTAGATTGCATTTAGGTACTGTGCATATGGGAATTCTTTTTTATTTCCCCACTCCCCGCTCAGCAGGGAAGTGTCTAACTGCACTGCACCTGTCTGGTAATTTAGCGCATGCAGATTACTATGGGGCATTAGCACATTTTGTAAGAAAAGATTTATACTGTAGTGCACCAAGAGAGCACAACTTGATTAATTCCTTCTCCTTCCACTTCCAAGTCCTGCTCCGAGGTAATGTTACCTGCCGGCTGGTGTTTTGCTCAAGCGGCTTCATTTGTGAGCTTATATGGTGAATGTTTATAAGGTGTATTGGAATTGAGCCTCATCCTTTCTTCAAACAATATTCACATGTTCCAGCAGAGTCACTGAATATATTTTGTTTTCCCCCACCTCCCCCTTCCCATTCTCCCCCAGCTAAATTTGGCTAACTCAACACAACACCAGATCTAAGAACTGTGTGTCTAGTGCCAATTTGGAGATGGCATTTTACCAACTTCGCACAGCCTTAGATTAAATTTTTTGTAACAAATGAATGTATTTTGAAGGCGTCATTGAGTAGTCATATTTGGATGTATTTTTTGCACCCATTGCATTTGCTGATATCGCTCACTTGTGAGTTCTGTGATTAATTCACATTTGTATAAACAAATTGCCTGTCACAACAGCCTCTTTGATACAAACCATCACAGATGTGATTGCACTGCAAGAGAGTTCAGCAACTACTCCGAATTCAATGTCATTGTGGAATGATGAGCAACAGTTACTTTGTAAGTGAGTCAGTTGCGCCTTCTCTATAAAGACCTGCCTTTTTTTTCTTTTGCAGTTGCTTGTCGCGCCTTGGCTAAACAGCGCAGCTATAAGCTTTAAAAATGCCCGATAACGGCACCGAGGAGGCTGGCCCCAGCACCGAGGACATTTGCCGAGATTACCTGCGCAACGTCTGCAGCCGCGGTAAGCGCTGCAAGTTCCGTCACCCAGACAGTAGTGAGATGTCCACCCTTGGCCTTTCATCTTCTGATCTGCCGGTTAATAAAGGTGAGATCCCCATCTGCCACGACTATCAGAAGGGTGATTGCCAAAGAGGCCAAAAGTGTAAATTCCTGCACGTCAAGTGCGATGAGTATGAATATGACAACCGAGCTCTGGCGCAGAACCAGATGGTTCCCCCTATGGTACGTAGATATGATCGATATGATGACTACTATGCTAGGGGTTATGAAATGATGCCCTATGATGATTATGACCCCCACATGAAGAGGAGAAGGATGGAAGACATGGGGTATGAGGTGTACGACTATGCAGGCATGCAGGGTCAGGGAATGTCCGACTACCGTGTCCTGAAGGAAGAGAATCTCATGCTGCAAAAGCGCGTCGATGATCTCCAAAAGCAGGTATCAAACCTGATGGCCACCAATGATGTCCTCCTGGAGCAGAACGGCAATATGCGCAGCCAACTGAAGATGGGCATGATGACCAGCACGGCTTCTGCCACAGCCACCAGATTTGGCAGTCAGTGACCTCCAAAGTCAGTGGCCTGAAAATGGCATGACTCGAGGTCCCTCGGAGTTTTTGTCACGTCAATAAATCAATAAAGAAACCCGTCTAGTTTCAGTCCTATCTGAGAAGGTTGTGCTGAGGCTCTGCTTTGTATATCCAAACACCCAAATTGACCTATAAAAGACCTGTAAGCTCACAATTGATAGCGCTGCATTACCACATTGATGGCCATTGATTCCATAGTCTCAACATCAGGAAACCTCAGTTTTAAAAGTCTTGCAGTACCTGTTACATTTGTACTTTCAGGTCAACTGTTAGATCTTTGTAGCGTGTTTTTCTTCATTCTTGCAAATGTTCCGAATGCCTGGCTTAATTATAGCATAGGGGAGCAATGAGGGAGAGCCATCAAAATCAATGAAATGGTATAATATCTTTCCCTCCGTTTACCAAAGTCGCACTTTTAACAACTTTGAATGCTTTCGCCCAACCCCTTCCACTACCCACAGGAAACGTAGGAAATGTAGGCTTGTTAATACAGATGTAGTTTGAAGGAGGGAAGAATGGGTTTTAGATGATCAAAATTGATTTTATTAATAAATTGAACTTCAATAATTAGAGCATAGCCATCTATGGCTTCTTCACGTCCCTATTAGGTCTACGAAAATCTGGGCGCTGTGTAGCAAGGTGCAAAAACCCAATGGCAAAACTGAGCTAACTACTTCGAAGCTCTCCAATGGCTGTGCTATGTATGTACTATAGTTATAAAAGTTGTCACGGAGTGGGTGGTTGCCTGTAGCACTGTCCTTGGGGCCCTAATGGCTTTGTAAATCCAGCCAAGTTTCACTGTCTTGATTTATTATGTCATTCAAATCCCATGATTGTGCTAAAGCCATTTACTAAACCCTTCCTACTAGTATCTCCTCTGTTTCGCTTGCGTATATCCTCCTGTTATTCTCTAGCTAATTGATTTCTATTGGGAACAAAGTCTGATCTGCAAGCCAGCCAACTCTAACTCTGAATGTGACTTTAAAGACACGATAAACAAGGCATTTGTTTTTAATAGTGTACATAGTGTATTATTGTTGGGTTGGTGGTCTTTTGGTCTATGGCAATTGTCGTGTGGCTTTCTTGTAATGGCGGGAGCCTAGGGCCACTGCATGTCACTTTGTGTACTGTTTCTACATTAAAACTAGCTTTGTAATAGTAGAATGAGTGTAACTATTCATAGCCACGTTAGACTCTGGACAGAGAATTCTGTCCCACTAGCTTTAGCAGTTTCCCAGTTATGTTACATACATTTTAATTGACGCCTCCCTTCCTGCCTTCAACGCTCCTTTAGGGTTTCCATGCAGCATTCCCCACTTGAGAGGGAGGGTGGCTCCCAATATCTAGAAGTGTAACTGCTGGTAACTTGCTCTTGGAATTTCTCTCCTGTAGCAGCTGGCTTCTATTTGGCACATACAAATGGGCCCTTGTGAGAATGATGGAGACCTTCTGCTGTAATGTCTCTGGCACCGTGAGTTGATCTGTGCTGCCACCTACACTTGTACTCCAAAATACCCCTTCGCCCCCACCACCCTTGAGTTCTACTTTTTGTCAGTACTAACATTACATTTTTAAGCAAAAGAAAAACAGTCGATCAGTATTCTGATGGTTTTGATTTCTCCCCTATTGCGTCTTAATTCAAAATTGTGGCCATTGCTTAAGCTAAAGTGAGCTGTATGCGGTTTTATTTGAGAGAAGAGAGGGAGCAGGCAATTCTTTGCTTATGAATATTCAGCGATTATTGTTAACCCTTTCCTACAAAAGAAACCAGTTGTACAAAATTGGACTTTTCTTAAGGTGGTTTAGAAGGCAAGTTGTAAGTTGGGTGGATGTTTGTAGTGTAGAGGGATAGTTTTAAAGCCTAAACCAAATCTACACAGCAGGTAAAAACACAACAACAAAGCTCAATGAGATTCTATCAAAACGGTTTCAACATCTGCACCTGGAGAAATGTACCTGAAAAATGTGTGGAATTAGTTTGTGATTAATTAATAAATACAGCAATTAATGTTATCTAATCCCAACTGGTTTTGTTCCATCGTTTGAATTTGGCTTTGCACAAGGCTTTTTATTTCAGTATCTTATTGTCTGGCGTCAAGTCCTCAAGACCCTGGTCATTTTATATTTCAGAAATTGTTAATGTTGCTTTTACGCCTGGCCTAATTTGTTTTTGTTAGTTTCCTACACTGGATTTCGTATTAAATGAAATGGTTGTTAAAGTGGCTCGAGAACTCCCAATTGGCCACTTGAGTTGGTGTTGCAATTAAAAGGGCCGATCGTCACTTCTATGAAGCTATAGCTTCATATTTCAGGCTGGAAGGATTTAATGACCCAGTATTTACAAATGTGTATGTTGATTGCTGCCTAGTCATTGCTACGGTTAACACTTTTCTATGCGATTACAATGTAGATTGTTCCATCCCAAGCACGGTTAATGTTTCCAATGATAGATAGACCTGTAGGACAACAGAACCTATACAGTCCTATGCTATTAAGTGTACCTTGTTTATTTGTAGTTCTTTTCAAAGCAAAGAAACATGTCTTCGCCTTCATATCTATGGAAGCCTGTTCTGTTGAGTGTTTAACAATAAAAGTACATTTTCCTTTGTCTGTTGGTTTTGTATTCCTTGTGTACATTGTTGCACTTAAATAGATCAATTACTTTTGGGAGTTGGTGATGCAGTTAAAACTCTCTTTACCATAGGGACCTGGGTTTGAGCTGACACATTTCGGATAGTAAAACTGCTAGTTTGTACAGCGCTGTATTCATCAGGAGGGAGGAAAAATGGTTGTAGAAACAACAACATATTACATCTGTATAGCGCCTTTCAGGTCAAAGCACTGGACAGTCAGGGATCCGTACCCAAGCTAATGTCGGGATCGGTGGCGGGGAGGGGGCGAGGTGGAGGAACTGTGGGATGGAGTCCCAGTGAGTTGGGGCAGAGAAGTTGAAGACCCCCCCGCCCCCAGTTGTGGGGCAGGCAAGGTGGGGAACATGAAGCAGGCTGGAGCCCGCTGAAAGAGGGGAACAGGCAGGTTGGTAGGGGTTAGGAGGTCACGGAGGTAGGGAGGAGCAAGGCCATGGAGGGTTTTGACGGTGCAGTCGGGCGAGGATGGGGGTGATAGGGTCGCGGAGCAGCGGGAGAGGACACGGGCTGCAGAGTTCTGGATGATCTGCAGCCTGTGGAGGGAGGATTTGGGAAGGCCAACAAGCAGGGAGTTTGTGTAGTTGAGTCTGGGCCTGAGCCTGTGATGAATGTTAGCATGAGAGTCTTGGCAGCCTGCAGTGAGAGACAGTAACGGAGCCATGTAATGTTGCAGAGGTGGGCAAAGGCGGAGCGAGTCATGGTACGGATGTGGGGGATGAAGGACGTTGAGGATCAAATAAGACACCAAGGTTCCGTATTGGCTCTGTGAAGTGTAGAGTGCACCCATGAAGGGTAATGCTGGCAGCGCCTGAGGTACGGTGGCACTGATGGGAGCCAAAGCAGGAGGGCCTCGGTCTTGTTGACATTCAACTGATGGAAGTTTACTCTCATCCAGGACTTGATATCCGACAGGCAGTCTGTGAGGATAGTAGTGGTCCTGCAGTCGATGGTGGAGGCAGAGAGTTAGTTTGGTATCATCCGCATAAATAGGTACATATGCATAGACCTAGAAACAGGAGTACGCTATTGACACCTCAAGACCAGTTATCTGCCCTTGACCCATATCCCTTAATACCCTGACCTAACAAATATTTATCTACCTCCATCTTGAAAATGTGAATGGATCTAACATAACATGTAGGAGCAGGAGTAGGTCATTCAGTCCTTCGAGCCTGCCCGCCATTCATTCATGGCTGATCTTCTCATCTAACTCCAGCTAATAACCTGACGCTGCCTTATCCCCATATCCCTTAATCCCTTTTGCAATAAGAAATCTATCTATCTCAGTCCTGAATATTCATCAACAGCCCTTTGGGGTAGTGAGTTCCATACATTCACTGCCCTTTGAGTGAAGAAGTTCTTCCTCAACTCAGTGTGAAAGGGCTGCCTCTGATTTTAAGGTGTGACCCCTGGTTTTCAATCTCCCACTATCTACTCTGTCATCCTCACAGGCTGGCAGTCGCTGGTGAGAGAAGGAATGACAATCTTTAGGACAATTCTTATCAAATTTATGGAAACTTTATTTTTTAAATTTGCACAAATTAACAATAAGTTCATTTTTTACGATTAATGGTTAGTTGCGAGACAGCAATATCAATGGCAAGCTATGCGTTTTTTAGCTGGTTAGACTCCAGCAATTACCCTCTAGGGTTCCCAACCTGCGCCTAATACTTTCCGGAATTGGTTAATTGGTCCCTACAGAGAGAGAGAGTGTTCATTTCATTCCAATAATCTATCTGGTGGATGCATGGAATTCTCAGTTTGATTTGGAGACTCTTAAGCACAGTGATGGGTTTGCATATGTGTCAGACACCCGGCTGAGCAAAACAAACTGTTTAGTTATGTTAGGGGATAAAATCCTTAAGGTAGTGCGGTATAGAGAGATTTGAGGGAAAATGGGATAGTTTGAAACTTTGGGAAAAATTGGGTGAGGGAGATGATAACACATACAGAGTTAGGGTTTCAAAGTATTTATCTCTAGTTAACAGGTTCTTATTTTGTGGTGTTGTTATGTTGCTCTTTTCTTTAAATCTGAGGATTTTTAACTGTAATATCATGGTTTTGTTTCAATGGTAGGGTTTGAGAGCTGAAAATATGGTAATGGCCAGTGAGATTTGTAGAATCTTAATGCCTCGCAGCAAAGTGCATGGGCCTGAGCTGCGGTGACTGATTCCCCCCGCCCTGGTTTCTTCCTCTCTGATACCTGTCCTTCTTATTTTGCAGTTGCTCATCGGTGGGGTGGGGGGGAGGGGCGAATTAGCCCATTAAAAGTAAACGTTTGACAGTGTGGAGGACGAGGGGGCTGGCCAGATTGCGGCCTTGTGCCATGGGGGTTGTGCACTCTGTCTACCATGGGGGCGAGTCCTGCAAATCTCAGCATCCAACACTTGCCAGGAGCACGAGCTCAGGGCGAAGAGGAACCAATTTGTTCTCGGTCACTGCCTCATGCGCAATGTTTGTACCCGAGATGAGGACCCGCTAGTTTGGGGAACACTGCAGGATGAGGAGGAAATCGGCCCAGCTTTCTCCCTGCTCGTGTTACATTTTGGGCCCCAGCCTGGGGCCTCTCCATCTCTGAGCTACCTGTTGATGAATGACCGAGACTTCCTGATGGGCTGGGACACGTGGTGGGTTACGGAAACTTCACAAGAACACAAGAGCAGACTGTGGTGTTGCCGGATCCTCCGCCCCCGCGTGTGTGGGCATGGCCGACGGGACAATACGAGCGGCGCGAGCTGCTGTGATACCATCACCGTCTGAAGGGGAGGAAAATCAAAAGACTGGCGTTCCAGGCGTGGGCTGTCCTGGGTCGGGATCCGCTGGCATCCCGTTACCTGAAAGAGGAGAAGCTTACCCTGCGGGAAATAAACAAGGTGCTTCTGGAGCAGAATTCCGATCTCCGCAGGCAGGAAGGCAGGCGTTCCCGGTGTCTGCCCACTGGGACACTCACCACCGGTGCTCTCCAGGGTCAACATGACTGGAGGCTGGGAGTAAAGCACTTCAGACTTACAACATCAGCCAACTTTGCTCTCCTTATAATAGAAACCTAGGATAGGACGAGGCCATTCAGCCCCTCGGGCCTGTTCTGCCATTCTATAAGATCAGGGCTGATCTGTATCTCAACTCCAATTGCCCGCCATTGCCCCATAGCCCTTGATACCCCGACTTAACAAATATCTATCCACCTCAGTCTTGAAAATGTGAATGGATCCACAGCCTTTTAAGGAAGCGAGAGAGTTCCAGGGAATGGTCTCACTTACTCAGCACTGACTCCCATTTTCCAAGTCTCTCAGGAGTCTCTACATCCCATGGTTTTAAGTATGTCCAGGGAAACTCTTACATGCATCACTGATTCATTTATCCTTTCAGTAGACCTGGTAAAGGAGCATATAAGAGTCTCTAATGGAGTCTTGTAGCTCAGTGGTCAGAGAAATTGCCACGCAAGTGAGAGTCTCTGCTGAAGACCTTTCTTTTCGACCACGCCTTTGGTCACCTTCCTCCCCCTCCCCCTGGCTCAGTCCCGGGATCTGTTACTGTAAAGCACTCTGAGATGCCGTCTGGCGTGGAGGGCGCTATATAAATCCAAGTTGTTGTTGAGACCTGGGTTCGAGTCCTGGCAGGGAAACCTTGGGCAAGTTTCCTTACTCCACACCTTTTATTCTTTTTTTAATATTACAATAATAATAATCCTTCCACTTGATATAGCGCCTTATCATGTCTTTGATACAACTCAAAACCCTTCACAGAATATATTCTAAAGTGAATTGACTATATTTTGTGGGCGACGCACGGCAGCCAATTGCGCCCACAAACAGTCGTCGATTGAAGTGAGGGGAAACACGCCCCATTGACAGCCTGCACTCTTACACTTACACAGTCACTACACTTGTCAGCAATCACCTTGTTTCATTGTTATACATACGCACTGTGTCAAATGCAGCGATAGTTATTGTGAGTTGCTTTTCAGGGCCCCCACCATCATTTTGTTGAACCACTACGGGAGGAGGTTCTCATTCTACCCCCCCCACACACACACGCACCCACCACCTTTTAGCAGAATGTAAGTGAAACGGAATCCCATTGCAGCTAATAAATGGGACCAAAAACAGTCACTTCACTGGAGTCTTTCTCAGTTCTTTCTGACTCGCTTCACTCCCACCCCCTGTTCTCGTGTGTTAATTAGGAGCATTTGCAACACAGGGCTATTGGTGAGCGTCTGAAATAAAATGCTTCCACTGAACTATCCTGTCCAATTTGCGTGTTCCTTTCTATGCAGTGCACAGATTTGGAGTCGAGCTCACAGCAAACCTGCTCCCAAGCTCCTAGCTGGACAACAACAACAACAAGATTACATTTGTATATCGCCTTTCACGTCGGGAGGACGTCCTAAGGTGCTGGACAGTGTACAGCATTTCAGACCCGAGCTGGACAAGCAACCGGAAGGCTTGCCAGACAACGATATCAATCCCAGCCGTTACCCCAACGCCACACTGTGGGCTCCCCCCAAGCCTTAGCTCTTGCCAACCTGCACCTAATACTCTCTGGAATTAGGTAATGTCCCTCCAGGAAGAGAGAGAGCGCGCGCATTCCAACAATCTATCCCTGGAATTTTCATGTGTGGGTGGGATGCATGGAAATCTCAATTTGGTTTGGAGACTTAAGCACGGTGATGGGATTCTGCATTTCTATCAACATCCGGCTGACTCTAATAAAAAAATGTAGCAGGATTGTTTTCCGGTCAAAGCACCCCCCATCACAAAACAGTGATATGAGACTATGGAGGAGCTGAAACAAGCCGTCAGAGATAGATGTGGCCTCCTAACTCCATCCCTGCTATGGAAGATGTCGCCACAAACCTGGTGATGGTTCATTATCTACTATGAAAATGATGGCGCTAACTCACACACACCGATTCTCTGGATGTCTAAATACAGTTAAACACGTACTGAATACAATGAAG